GTGTGCATAAGCAAAGGTGGTGAAGAAAGCTGATGGTGCCTGGCTATCAAAAGATATAGCATCTGGTGTCTTAAAGGCTGGAAGATAAACAAGTGGCCAATTAGCTCAGAAACAACAAAGCCCACATGGAAGAAGCACACCGGCATGTGTGACCAGGAGCTGTCAAAGGGATCGGGTGTCAGGCATCAAGGAACAAGAAACCATAATTACTTTTACAGTTTACTACATTTCATTTTTTCGTCCTTTCATATACTATGCTTTGGCCAGTTTGAATTACCTACTATAAGAACAAACCCTGACATTCTCTACCATGACTTGGCATGATGTAGATCCTCTTTTCCCTCTGCTGTCAATCCTTTTGATTCATGTAGAAGTTGAATGCCCCATCAGTCCTCAAATGGCTCATTTACATGTTTTTCAACTCCTTGATTTAGAATCCCTTTCTGTCCTATATGTTCACAGCACAAGATTACAATGGCTCCTCGGGTCCTTCCAAATAATTTATACAAGAGCAAAAAGGGTGAAACTATACTCAGTCAACATGAATTTGAATTCAATCTGTTACAGATCATGATACTGGATATGACCTTAATAGATCAACAGTTGGGATTCTTGGCAACTATTAAGTTATATATTTCCCCAATGCTTAGTATTACATGCTCTGGAATTAACTCTCCTATGATGACTTTTCATAGAAAAGAGTAATATAGTTTTTAACTATATATAATATGTAATATTTTCTTGATTATATAATAGTAGCCAAAGGTTTCTACCCGGAAATACTTAGCTCTCTAGTCAGTTTATTAATATAGATGGGAATTCCCACCACCCAGAAAGGGCATCTCTGAAAGGTAATTAAATATGCTTCAAAATGTTTGTGAAAAAATAATAGAAAAAGAAAAAACAAAAGATAATTGAATTTTCCCATAAACGTTTTGGAGCCTCTGTGTATAAGTCACATACGCAATTAAGTTTGTTTATCAGTTTGCTGTACAAAAGCCTATTGACATGAAATGCAAAGTATTTGTTCATGTTATGAGAAAATTATCAAAGGATATATATCTATGGTCCAATTCAAATAAGAAAGTTAATCTACTTATAGAACCTTTATAAAAGCAAGCCAAATCTCTCTTCAAAGGTAGAAAAATACTTTTTAAAACCATTAATAGTATTTCAATGAGTTATCAGTAGATTATGTAAGTTTAGATAGGAGTTTCAGGTAAAGTCTGGTTAGAGGTACATATGAAAGACAGGATGGAGCAAACAAAATATACTTAAAATTAGCAACAAGCAGTTAGACTACACTTCCCAATTATCTTTACACATCAATCTTCTATTCTTTCAAAGAATTCCACTTTTTTTTGAGGTTGAAACCACTTCTCTTTATTGATGGATAATAATATACTATATGACTATATCCCATTTTGTTTACCCATTGTACAAATGTGCCTTCACACAATGGATGGATGTATGGATTGTGAAAAGAGCTGTAGGAGTTCCTAATAAAATGATAAAAAAAAAAAAAAGATTTACAGTCTCCAAAACCCTATTTGGTAACTGAACTACAACAAAAAACATCAACAGTATTACTCCAGTTTCAAGAGATTTAAACAAAAAAACATCTACAATATTACTCCAGTTTCAAGAGATTTAAATGGAGCATTTAAGAATCACATACAAATAATGGAGCTTGTCCTAAAAGTCCATTTATTGATGCCTACTCAAATGTTCTTATCATCATAGCACACTGTTAACAGTTAAAGTAGAAATAAGGACATTGAAAATTTGATTAAACTTAGAATGGTGGTAACTTTATTAAGTGAAGCTTTTTCTGACTGAGAATTGTAAAAAATGTCATTATACAGATCCTCCATTATATGGCTGCTATATAGAGACAATAAAAGATAATGATTTAAGCCCAGAAAAAAATTAAAAGGCGATTAATAATACAAGAACTCTCAAAAAAGGGAACGCTCAAAGGAATGTGGGAGGGCTCTGCATATATAAACGCAACACAGATCAAATCTGTGAATAAATTATATTATCATGCGACTAGTTATAAAACAGTTAGGAGCCCTAGTGACACAATGGGTGTCGTGTTGGATTGTTTAACTGCAAGGTCTGCAGTTGGAAAGCACGAGCCATTCCACGGGAGAAAGATAAGGCTTTCTACTTCTCCAAGTAGTCTTGGAAACCCACAGGGGAAGTTCTACCCTGTCCTATATAGTCACAATGAGTCAGAATCACACAATGGTAGTGAATAAGTGAGTTAAACATGACATTTACTTATAAAAATATAATTTACAAAAGACATATAGTATTCACTGTAATACATATAGTTAAATAAATAAATGAACTCTTTCTGGTCCATTATATTGATGACATTATGTTGATTGGACCCACTGCGTACAAGAGATTGGGAAATTAACCCAACAAAGATTCAGGCACCCTCCACCTCAGTAAAATTTCTAGGGGCCCAGTGATGTGGGGCATGTCGAGATAGTCCTACTAAAGTTAAGGATAAACTATTGCATTTGGCACCCCCAAAGACTAAAAAAGAGGCACAATGCCTAGTGAGCCTCTTCGGATTTTGGAGGCAACATATCCCTCACTTGGGTGTTCTACTTCAACCTATTAATCAAGTGACACGAAAAGCTTCCAATTTTGAGTGGGACTCAGAACAAGAAAAGGCCCTGCAACAGGTTCAGCCTGCCGTGCAAGCTGCTTTGCCACTGGGACCGTGTGATCCAGCTGACCCGATGGTGCTAGAAGTGCCAGTTGCAGATAAAGATGCAGTGTGGAGTCTTTGGCAGACCCCACTCCTGGTACCAAAATGTGTTAGACAGGGTTCTCTAGAGAGATAAAACCAAATTGCTGATAATTTAATATATTTATTTATAAAGATAATTAGATATATGACAAAAAAATGAACTGTTAAATCATATACAGATAAATATATAATACAAGAAATAAACAGTTAAATTATAAAGCACTACAAATGGCTCAATGCAACTCACTCCCGTGAGAGAGTTGTGAGAGACTAGCAGTCCTTCAAGTCTAGTCTGCTGCCAGATCTTCCTCTATAGAGAGAGCTAGGCTATGTCGGCCCAGCAGCCAATCAGAAGGCAGGTCACCAACTGCCAGTCCCCAGCTCCAGAGATGTCTTAAAGGGACCTCAACTTACAGCGATACAGTCCACAGGCTAGGTGTCCCACAGGCAGTGTAGCCTTTAAATTCAGGCACAGAACAAGCAAAGCAGCCGCACACTGGTCCGATGATCACAGAGCGAGAGACAAGAAAGATGAGGCTCACCAAGCCATTTATCTCTCTGCCCTTCAGTTAATCCCACTTGTGTTTATCGGCCAGGCTGGCACAATAAACTATCTCAATCAATATAGAACAAAAAGGCTCTACCTTGTCAATAATTGACTGCATATGAGATTTATGAGACTGGTCTCCATACAGCAAAGAGGACCACTGGTCTGGTGCAATTCTTAAACCAGCCTCCATAGCAATTTGCACTATCTGGGAGTCATGTTCTCGTCGGAGAGCCTCATAGGTTCTAAATTCTTCTTTAAGTTGCATTAAAGAAGAGTCTTCATCACGTTTGGTGACCTAATGAGACACAAAAAAATCACACGATGAGTCAGGTTAAAAACAACAACAAACGTTTATACTTTATCAACAAACACAGGTAACTAGAATTGATTTTTAATGTAACAAAATTATTTTAACAACTATGAGATTAAAATAGAATCTATCACATTGGCTGTAACACATTTACTTCTTTATAAATGTTCAAATCTTCTGTGTAGATTTCACAGAAAGAATGAGTAAATTAAAATATGCTCAAATAAAACTCAAAAGAGAATGGACATTAAAACAGTTGCAGGCATATTCATATACATGCATATGCACAAACATACATGTATTGCAAAGTATGTATATATAATTTTTTTAAAAAAGAAACACTCATAATTATTCTGGAAAGCAACTTTTGTTTGTTCACCATAGCTGAGAATTACTACTCTTTTTTTTTTTTTTTTTGAGAATTATTACTCTTGAGCTTGGTTGTTAATAAATTAGCTGGTATGAATAAGTGAAAGTGTTACAGAAGCAAAACCCAGTGCCATCAAGTTGACTCCTGCTCATAGTAACCCATAAGACAGAATAGAACTGCCCCATGGATTTTCAAGGCTGCAAGTCTTTACAGAAGCAGTGTGTCACCATCTTTTCCAGCAGAATGGCTGGTGGGTTTGAACAGTCAACCCTTTGGTTAACAGTCTAGTGCTTTAACCACTGTGCCATCAGGGATATTTTAAGTATGGCCCTAGAGATGACTAATTTTTTGGCTTCGTTCTCCATAGAGTCTTGTGAGCTAAGTCACCATTAGAAATAGAAAACTATGCTTATTATTATGAGAATAAACAAAATGATCATTTGAATGAATATTTTATAATAAAATAGAAATCTGAGCATTTCGTTGAGCACCTAGTCTGTGCCAATCATTGTGCTATGACCTACATCAAGTCATTTAGTTCTTTCAACTTGTTAAGATACGTACTTTTTCCCCAAATCCCTCCCTGAAAAAATTGCCACTATTTTGATTTATACACCAAAATGGCAATTTTCATATCTTGGACCCAAATCAAGCTCCTTTTCAATGTTCTTCAAGGTTTGGTAACAAAAAGAAATTTGATGGTGAACAATAGGGCTGTAACAGGTAGAAGGATAGTTTCCATAGGAAATTCTGATGGGCAGTTTTTGCTGCCCTTAAAGAATGAGCAAGTACAATCACGATGGGAAAAAATACCTCAGTGTTAGTTTCCTGCCTTTTGCTCACCAATGCAATTTTCAATTTTCTTGAAACATTTTAATCAATAGTCAAAAAAAATCTATTAAGATCCCTCTTTGGGAATACCAAAAACAGTATCTATAACGTGGTGAGTTGACCACAATCTTGAATTTAACTGGCTAAAAGGTCCCTCCAATTGATGTATGTATGGATTGTGATAAGAGCTGTCTGAGCCCTCAATAAAATGATTAAAAGAAGAAAAAAGAAGTCCCCCCAGAAGCCACTGTTCTGATAGGGCCTTTTTCCTAAAGGTATCCTAGTGAGACTACAATTAGTGTAGTGCGGAGAGAATTTGGTTACACCTATTCACTGATCACACTAATCCTTGGTTTTCCTTATGGCAAGTATAAATTAACATGTGTAGAGGTAAACTTCCCTGTTTTATGAAAAACTGGATATGGGCTGTGTCAGAACGAAGACTTGACTTCAGAATATATGATTAATAAACGACAGATAGTGGGCACCAATGTTTGAAGCACTACTAATTCGATTTAGAATAATAAGAGAATATGTCTACTACTACTACACATGCAGCAAAATGAAACTGTAATTCAAACTCTACCACTGTATATGGGGAGCTAAATCAGGAATAAATAGCCAAATAAAACCTACTGCATTTCAATATTTCTTCAGGCCAATTCTGCTTATAATTTTGGGAAACTAAGAAAATTTATTTAGTCTCTTCAAAGACAAATATCTCTAAGCAAAGGGTTAGTTTGATCTGTTATTCGATTTTCAACACTCAAAGTCCAATACAACAGAGTTTAACTACAATAAAACACCATCTATGTTTTTTATTAAAAAAAAAAAAAAAGAAGAATGAAAAATAGCTAAAAATTTCCAAAAAGACACCAGCAACTTTATTAAGTTCAAAGTTTAACTCTCTTAGTTGGGGACAGGACAATATTTCCTTTCAAGCTGATATTTACCATAGATTCATACCTTGAAACAGGAGGCTCTATAAAGGAGCTGGACAACGTGTCCAATGCTAGTTTTAGAAGCTTGAGGGAAGCGAGGCTCCAGCCTTTGCACCACAAAGAGAACCAAAACTTTTCTTGACAAAGCAGATCCATCTTCTAAGGCCAATAGAACCAACTTTAGAGCTTCTTCCTGCATTGCTAGAAAAAGTTAAGTAAAATCAAAATTTACCACATGTAGAGCTATGAAAAGCCCTTTAATTGAAAGAGCAATATTCAATAATTTCTGCAAGCATTACTCAATTAATGGGCAACAAAATGACAGGTATTCATGGTGATAACCATTTGGGGGAGAATTTTATATTACATTCTACATATTTTTTTTGAAGAAAGAAAATGCATTATTAATAAATTTTAGAATAACTTTTACCATTTAAAAAACCAAAAAACTAATTCTATGGAATTTCCCAAACCATGATTGCTAAGTGGGCTATTACTTGGTAACAATGGAAGAGTGCAGAGAACCAGTACTTGTATATCACTTGTCGTCCACACAGCATACTCTCAGAATTACTAGTGTAGTAAATATGAAACTTTAATAATATACCTGGTCCAAGGAACTGGCAGCCTCGAGCCCTGACTGCTGCCCAAAGATTGGAAGAAAGTTGCTGAGGATTCTGGTGCTGGAGAATGAGCTCTGTAACTGTTCGTTCACCCAACGATCGAGCTGCCCTCATAGCACGAATCCTGCCTTCTTCTTCCACTAGTTGACAGTGAACCAGAGTCACCAGCTTCCTCTGCATTGGGCGACTCAGAACACTCTGAGTAGTGCTATTCAGACCCACTCCTTGAAAAGAGTTTAAAAAAGGTTATGTCTAGGTGCTATGATTGAAATTATACTTTGCCTCAAAATGTGTTGTAAATCTTAACCCGATATGCCTATAGTCATTAACCCATTGGGGATTGGGGTGTCCTTGTTAGGTAATGAAGCAATAATAGCATCGCGTGTTATATTGAATCAATTCTTTTGAGATATATAAAGAAAAGAAAAATTGGGTTAGAAGGGGGAAACCGATTACAAGAATCTACGTATGACTTCCTCCCTGGGGGACAGATGGCAGAGGAGTGGGTGAAGGGAGATGTCGGACAGGGCAAGATATGACAAAATAATTTGTAAATTATCAAGAGTTCATGGGGGAGTGGGGCGGGAGGGGAACATATGAGGAGCTGATGCCAGGGGCTTGGGTGAAGAGCAAATGTGTTGAGAATGATGAGGGCAACGAATATACAAATGCGCTTTGCACAATTGATGTATGTATGGATTGTGATAAGAGTTGTATGAGCCCCTAATAAAATGATTAAAAAGAAAAATCAAAAAAGCTAGGAAAAGAAATGGGAGAACACTGATTGATGCCAACCCAAACGGAGATTTCCAAAGAACCATGAAACAAGATGAAGCTTCCCTCAGAACTTAAATAAAAGTTATCTCCTAGAGTCAGCATGCTGAATTCCTTCTTCTAGCATAGGTGACTATGAATTGGAATCAACTCAATGGTGGTGAGTTTACAATGCTGGAGTCTGAGCATCTGGGTGTGTGATCAGTTCTGGGTTCTACTAGAATACACAAACAATAAGTAAAAGTACACAAGTGAGGTGAGGCCTAGCTAGCATTTAAAAAGGACCCATTGGATTTTTTTAAATAAAAGTTTACTATTCATTACAACAGGAAGTATACTATTATTGATTCTAACAGAAAAATGTCAGATATGTTTAGTTTAAGACCTGAATCTTGAGGTGATAATGACTCTCATATATTATCTCATTATAGTTGGTCTTACCTTTCTAATGAAATAACAAGCTCTTTAGGGCAGCAGTAGCAACTCCCATAGCATACGATATAAAACTGGATAGAAAGCAGACAAATCAAAGCTGTCCAAGAGAAGAACTGTTCTGTATTTATACTTACTTCTGCAACTCATTCAAGTAACATTTCCAATATTCCATAGTCTAAATACATATCTTTATTTGATGTGTTCTGGTTTATATTAAATAAGTAAACATTACTTATGACTGCAGACTTTGTAGTAATAACAACTTTCTTTTTTTAAATCATTTTATCAGGGGCTTGTACAACTCTTATCACAATCCATGCATACATCCATTGTGTCAAGTGCATTTGTACATTTATTGCCCTCATCATTCCCAAAACATCTGCTTTCTACTTTCTGCACTTGGCATCAGCTCATTTTTTCCCCTCCCTACCCACCCCCTAAAAACAACTTTGATAGATGTTAATTTACCATGTATAAATAACTGCATCAGACTTACCCCGTGCACTGCTGAGTGGTTTCAGGTACAATGCTAATTCTTCTACACATTTTTTTGCTTCTTCATAATGTTTTGTATCTTCAACCCCACTACACAAAGTAATGGGCTGTTGCTCAAGGACCTTGAGGCCAAGTGAACAAGTCATTTTTGAACATTCATTAATTTAACAAATTATGTTATTCAATCTACTTCATGTACTAACAAAATCACGGAATTCTTTCTCTATGCAAACAGAAAAATATATTCCACTTTGGGCGAGGGGGGGAACAGCAGCACAAAATTGAAAGTGTAAAATGTATAACCATCACTACAATCAATTTTGGCATGCTCTCATGACCCCATAAGGCAACTCTGTAGCAGTCAAACTTCCCTTTCCCCACTCTATATTCTCCCCAAAGCCCTCACCTCTAGGCAAGCATTAATCTCCTCTTGTGAGATTTGCCTAATCTGGATACTTCATATAAACAGAATCAGACAATACGTAATCTTTTCTGATTTGATTATTCACTTAGCCCAAGATCCATCATTATCAGTATTTCATTTATTTTTATTCCATTCCATTATAGGTCCCTGGGTGGTACAATCAGGTTTGTGTTCAACTACTAATCTAAAGGCAGTTCAAACACGCCTAGCAGCACCAGAGAACCACCCTATACATCTGTTTCTCTAAGTTTATAATTAAGAAAACCCTATGGAATTTATATGGGCTCACTGCAAGTTATATCTGACTTGAAAGCAACCAGTTTGGTGTGATAAAGGAATTTATGAGGGGGTACCTCCCCAAGAAGGAATTTTTTTCAAAGCTATATATTAAAATTTTTTACAAAACTATCACCTCCAACATACTCTTCCCATTACACTTAATACATTTGTCAAGTCTGCAATTCCACTCTTGGAAACATTTTTCAAGCTCATCTGTTTGAATGGCTGACAGCACCTCCCTCGTTTTTTCCTTCTTAATTTTTTCTACATAGTCAAATCACTGTTTTTTCTTGTCACTCTTCATTCATGGAAACAAAAAGAAGTCACATGGAGTGAGGTCAGGAGAGGCATGCTGTTTTTTTGTCAAAAAAAAAAACGGGGGCACTGAGATGGCTGTATGAGCAGGTGCATTGTCGTGGTGGCAAGACCAATTCCCATCTGCCACAAATCATGCTTTTTTGGTCACACACTGTTACACAGTCTTCCCAGAACCTTTAAATATAGAAAGCCTGCTTAATAACAGTCTGACCTGGTAGAACAAGCTCCAAATGCACTATCCCCATCACGTCAAGAAAAACAAATGAGTATTGTCTTGATCTTTGATTTCACTTGATGAGCTTTTTGGGGGGAGAGGTTACTATGATGATGGCGTCTTCCACTGGCCTGACTGATGTTTGCTTTCAGGGTCCTAAGAATAGCACCATGTCTTGTCATCAGTAATGACCATGTATAAAAAATCTGGGTGGCTTCAGAGCTGTTCTTTCAAAGCATGGCACATTTCCACTCAATGCTTTTTCCTGGTCAGTCAGAGCCCAAGGCAGAAATTTTGCAGTGACCCTTCTCATTCCCAAATGCCTACTCAGATCCTTTGGTATTTTTTTTAAGTTTTACTTATAGTACAGTAATTTCCTTCTGATTGTTCACATCTTTTATTAGTATAGTAATTTTCTATACTTTTTTAATTTTTATCATTTAGGAATTTTTTGTACAGCCGTGAAATTTTGTTTCCTGCTTGGAAAAAATGCCACAGAAACTGTTGTGATGTACACAACTTACAAGGACAGTGCTATGGGAAAAACTCAAGTGTACGAGTGTTTTTCTCATTTCCAAAGAAAGGTGAAATGTCGATTGATGACAAATCTTACATCCATCAATTTCCCAAATGGATGAAAATGTTGTCAAATTTGTGCACTTGTGCTCGAAGACTGACAATGGAGCATTGAAGAGGTATGTTTCATTGTTGCTGTCTCCTCCCAGAGACCTTTCTGTAAGGGGATGTCCAGTTGCCTACAGATGGGCTTTGGTTCCCCACTACGCACTCCCCCACAAATTTTTTGTTATTTGATGCCTGATACCTGATCCCTTCGACACCTCATGATCACACAGGCTGGTGTGCTTCTTCCATGTGGGCTTTGTTGCTTCTGAGCTAGATGGCCGCTTGTTTACCTTCGAACTTTTAAGACCCAGATGCTATATCTTTTGATACCCAGGCACCTTCAGCTTTCTTCACATTTGCTATGCACACATTTGTCTTTTGTGATCGTATCAGGGAGATGAGTGCACAATGATAATATTTTTTGTTCTTTGATGCCTGGTAACTGATCCCTTGGGCACTTCGTGACCCACTAAAAATTTCTAAAGCTGAACAAACTGAAGAAAAAAATAACAGCCTCAAGTTGCAAATAAGAAGAACATTATGGGCAAGATAATGAGCAACACAGGAAGCACATGGTTATCTTTATTCCTATTGAGTTACCTCACTGCTCTCTTTTATCATATGGAAGGGCTATGGATTCAAGGTACAACAATCTAAAATGTGTGACCTATAAATATTTCAGACTAAGTTCACATTTAAGTAGACATAACTTTTTTATTTTAAAATTAGTTATGTTAAAACTTAGAAATTCCTACTACAAACTATTGAAAACATAAACTAAGTTTTCCATTAAAAAGGATTTTAACTTCACAGTTACCTTATAGCTGAATTAAAAAATTTTAAATATAACTAAAGCACATTTTTAAACTAAGATTTTATCTTGACATAACTAAATTTGCTACTCACCCTTCTATCTTGCAGAAAGGTCAATACAACAAATGCTATGAAGTACATGCAAACACCTTAAAGGATTAGAACATTAAGTGACAAAGAACTTTCTTTGAACACATTATAGACATGTTTAATTAGAAATGAAAGGGAAAGGCAGGGATTTCAGCAGGAACAAAATCCTCACATTTCACCTAACACATTTAATCTTGGCTAGCTAGAGTGTAACAACATGGTAACCGCATTATTATACTATATCCAGGACAACACTCCCTATACACTTGCATTCAAAGTCAACCTCTAATGCTTCCAACTCAACTGTTTCTCAGTCTGTTGGGCCTGGCAGTAAATGAGCATGTAAGTCTTCATTGTAAGGTTAGAATATCTGTTATCAGTATCAGCTCGATAAGCAAGACAACTGAGGTCTACAAGATCACTAGTAAAATCAAACAAACAATTGATATCACTTGTGGTAGAGGGACTACTGGGATTCGTTCTCTTCAGATACAAATATCCTCCATACATTCAATAGCAGATTCATGGTATAAATTCTGCCTTCTAACCTCTTGGTATGCTATACCAATAATACTGTGAGTCATATTGCCAAACTCTCTAGTTGGTGGTTTTTCGGTTGAAAATAGCTTCAATTTAATTAATTTTATAACTATGAGAACAAAAATATTTAATCATGTCATTAAAATAAAACCCCAATTCACTTAAAAGTAATAATAATTCATTGACTTTTAACACTGATAAACAAGTGGTACTCTAGTTTGATAAACAAGTGTCCCTGCTCTCAGGGAAATTATATTCTGCAGTGAAAGACTGTAGCTAACACAGTCTTTTATGAACAAATGAAGAAAATCCTAACTAGGGAGGATACATGCAATAAAAGGATGAAAACATTTAGCAAGCATGGACTTCTGTTTGCAGTCTATGCAAGTGCATGTGGTACAATTTAGAAATGAAAGAGCACTGATAAACTGAGCGGCAAGAGCCTACAATGTTGTGAGAGGGGTAACTGGTAACGGGAGAGTGACCAGAAACTTCCCAATCCAAAAAGATTGCGAAGTCTTGATGAATTTTCTGACTTTATCCTCTGGACTTTATCTCAATGTGAAGCCACTAAAGAGTTTTAATAAGGAACTCAATTTAAACTGTATGTTTTAAATATATTTTCATTTTATTGTGAAGAATGCATCAGACATTTATAAGATTGCAATAGCAGAAACCAACTGGGAAACAAAAATAGCTTTTAGTAAAAAGGGAGAGATGGAGGTGTGGATTGGTAAGGCACAGTAACATAGAGAAAACAGCAGAGTTGAGAGAGATTTTGGAGAAAGAATGCTTAGGACTTGGTGACTGATTCCATATGGGACTTCGGAAGAAAGTGTTAAAGCACACTCTTAATCTGGTCAGTGCTTTCTCTTTCCACTCCACCCTAAGAATCAAGGAAGTTACTTTTCATCTCTATAAATCTGCCTATTTTTGACATTTTATATAAATGGAATAAAACATAAATCCCGTCTTTAAAAAAATTACACATACTTCATGCTCGTTTATAGTTCACTCATTTAGAACACCAACCAATTATTGCTATCAACCAAAGTGAGGCACTATGAACTAAGTAAAAGTCAAAGTATGACTATTTAAGGTAAATCTGTTTTCTGAAGAGTCAAGTGTACATTCTAAATACTATAATCAAAAGTTCATCCAAGGTACCTACATTTATATTGAAAGAGATTTTATATAAAGAGAATTCATTCTATTAAAACATATCTCCTGAGGTAATTTAAAGAAAAAATGCTCTCCTCTTACAGGAAATTTGCTTCTAATTTAATTTATAGCAACTTCCCCACCTGAGCTCTCTACCAACCCTTAAGGTCACTATGTGAAATAATCCCTTGATATGGTCATGCCTATTCTGTTTTTTTCTTCTTCCCAGTTACCATTCAGTGCCTCCATAACTATTACCAAATAATTCAGGAAGTAAGCAAATGCCTGGTTAAATCTCTATTCCTATTATATTACAACCTTTCTGGTCCTATAATTAGAATTAAGTCCCTCTCCTTACATTTTATAAAAATTATAGCATTGAATTACATTTACAATTTAAAAACAAATGACTGAGTTGGAGCAGACCTGAGGAGTTTTCTTCCTCCTGGCCCTCTAAAACAGAATAGTCTCTATAGTTTGTAAGTTTTCCCAGTACAGTAGTTACTTGTTTCTAATCCTTAAAGATAAAATTCAGAGGTCTACTTATTAAAATGGATGAACACAGAGAAACTCAGGCATTTAGAGACAGAGACATATGTCAAGGAAAAGACTTTAGATGCCAACAAAATAGTAATCTTAAGTAGTTAGGAGTACAACAAAGGCTAGGGATATGCACATGTTTAGGCAGAAAAGGGACCAAAACTACATAGAACTAAATATTCAAGAAAAGATTTAGTGCAAAGGACGAAAGGGCCACAAGAACTACAGCTTCCGTTTCCTGAGCTTGAGGAACTAGATGATGCCAGGCTATCAATATTGACTGCTCTAAATAGGATCACAATAGAATGTCCTAGACAGAGTGAGAAAAAAAATGCATAAGAAAATTCAAATTGATAAATTAAAAAGATCAGACTTACTGATAGAGACCGGTGGAACACCCAAGACTATGGCCTTTAGATACCTTTAAATCTTAGAATTGGACCTATTGCCAGAGACTACCTCACAGCCAAACAATAAGCAGGCCTGTAAAGCAAGCAATAAAACCCATGAAGAACATGCTCCTCAGGATATTTAACTATAGGAAACCAAAAGGGCAGCATTTGCCTAAAAGTAAAATCCAAAAGGCATGAAAGAACAAGGAAAACTGGCTAAATGGGGTGAATATTTTAAGTACGGGAAGAGATTGATTATGGTGATGACTACACACACCTTCATAACAGAACTAAAGATTACCGTATATACTCGGGGTTTTGAGCACATTTTGAATGCAGTTTTTGTGGCAAAATTAGATGCCTGGGCTGATATTCGGGTCAGCTTATACTCAAGTATATACGGTAATTGTATGATATATATAAAGTATAAGCTAATAAAACTGTTTAAAAGAACAAAAAATCATGTTTAGTCTACACTTTGACTACATGAGGCAGTATATTTAAATAGGGAATGAGTAGAATAATAAAACTACATGGAGTACCCAAAATTGTTTTCTCTGTATTGCTTGTACAATTAAAAAGACCAAAAAAAAAAAAAGACTTCTAAAAATATACTTCAAATATTAATTATTTCCTCATATACCTTTCCTTGCCATGTCTTGTGAACTTCTTCCTCATGTGAAAATACTTAAAAGGTTGTAAATTGGAACATTTGTGAAAATTCTATTGATTAAATAAACATTAAAACTACATGTACTATTTAAAGGTAACAATTACGATGTTCATTCTTTCCTACTAGCTCTAGAGTAATGTTCACTCCTTGCTTTGTGGACCAAATAAAAACAATCTTCATCGAGTCGGTGAAGACTCATAGCAACCCTACAGGACAGAAAAGAACTGTCCCTAACGGTTTCTGAGATTGTAACTCTATTACGTTAAAGGGCAATGATTTCTTGAGTAATAATTTTCTCATTGCAAATAAAATCTTATTACTTATTTCTTATGATGTTAACAGCTAGGATCTTACCATTGGATTAAATGGATGTTACCAAACTAACTGAAAAACACTGGCCTATTATAATAGTCTCCAAAATTAATGAAAAGATGTGCACAGTATCTAATAGAATTGTACCAACATAATGAAATGTCTCGTGGAAGTTACTTAAATTATTGCTCAACAAGTTGATAATGCTGCTTCAAATATGGACTACACACACACACACACACACACACACACACACACTGTAATATCGATACATACATGGATTTGAACTTGGACTTGATTGTAAGCCTCAATCTAAGAACAATTACATAGTTCTTATGAAGTGCCTCTGCTCAGTACTTACTTTCATGAAGAGATCACTAAAGATATGGGTGCTACCTGAAAGTGTAGTAAATAATCAGATGGTGCCTGATATCATACTACATGGGGTCTTAAAGGCTTGTCTTAAAACAAGCAGCCATTTAAGTGAGGTGTCAGCTAAGTCCACATGAATGGAGCACACCAGCTCCTGTGATTCAAGACTATAAATAATAATATCCATGATCAGGAGGGAATTATATCAGGGCTCCAATTCTAAGTACTCGGATTTGCAAAAGGCTAGGGTTGACAGTGAAAGCCCCAAATTCATTTGAACATCCCCAAGCAGATTAAGCCTCTAATGAATTCCCTCAGTCCACTGACTAAGGGATGTGACTAGTCTTGCCCTCAGACAGAGTACACCAGAGACTGGATTATTGTGGTTGTAGTTATGTTAAAATTTAACATCATCTGTTTTCCCTTTTGGGCCATTTTCAGTTTGTTCTAGTTTCTATTATCTTGTTTTCTTTTGGATTGAGGTTTTTCTGTGTTTCATTTTGTTGAAATTGTTTGTTCTTTTGTATGATTTTTAAAAAACGAAATCAAGGATAAGTAGATCTGTGGCAACAGTAACTACATTAACAGATAGTAGCTAGATTAATAGCTCCATAGGGTTATGGCAAGGAAGGTTGGCAGGGGGTGGGGTGGTTATGGGTACAAGAATGAAGAATACTCTAAAAGTGATTCTGGTGATGATTACACAAGGCTTTAAAAAATATTTAAACCACTGAATTGCAGGTTAATAATATTGGTTTTTAAAAAATGTCTCAACAGGCTTTTCTGAGGAGGAACTCACACAGTGAAATTAAAGAGTACAATGCAAATCATCTTACCTGAGCACCTACTAGTTGCAGCAATGCTGAGTTCACAGGAAGGAGCTCAATGTCTGTATTGATAGTGGTCTGGTCAAATGGACAAGCCTTGCGGTGGAGTTTATTCAGGCACATCTTGCAGACAGTATGGCCACAGCCCAAACTGATGGGCTTTCGAATAGTTTCGTCGAAAGTCTGAGTGCAAATTGGGCAGGAGAGGAAATCCGTCCATTGTGGAGCTTGTACAGGCATTGCTTCTGGAGTTACAATTTACTAACACACACACACACACACACACACACACACACACACACACACACGAAAAAAACTAAAGCAAAGATTCCACTGGAATCAAAAATCTCTGAAAAAAGTTTGTCTTTTTTTTAAATATCTTCTGTAGATACAGTCAGCACATAGTGTGAAAAATAACCTGGAAATTAAAAAAAAGAGAAAAAATTGAAAATATATTCCTTTTAGATCATGTCAGATTCCACAGTTTTTTATTCCACATTTGAATTGATAAAGTATATGAAACTTTCTTTTTTTTTAATTGTGTTTATTTTTTTTGAAACTTTCTATAAATCAGCAAAAGATTATATTAATGGATATAAGAATTTGACCTTGTGTTAATCTTTGTAATGTAGGGTAAATGGATCTACAAGTACAACTTTGTATAAAATATACATTTTGGTAATGAATAATAATGTAAAGATAAATACAACATTTTATTCTTTCAAGTACTAAAAACTATACAAATAGAAAGGAACACATATAAAACAAAAATTTTATAACACCTTGTAATTTTTACTATTCATAGAGCTATTTTTTCAGATATGGTTCTGAACGCTTACAAAGAGCAAACCTATTCAAGGTATGGCCCTGGTAGCTTGATTGGTTAACCATTGGGCTAACCTCAAGGCCTACAGTTCAAACCCATAGTTGCTCAATGATTAGGTCAAGGGGGCAGGCTGTCTGCTCTTACAAAAATTACATTCTTAGAAAGTTTACAGAATAGTTCTGCCCTGTCCATGGGCTGCTGTAAGCCAGAATTACTGGGTTTTTACTGATTACACAATGGGCTTCTAAACAAAATCTCACTCAAAAACACCAGTCACGTGGTGGGAGAAAGATGAGGCTTTCTACTCTGGTCAACAATTGCAGTCCCAGAAACTCAAAGTGGCAGAATTCTATCCTGTCCAGTTCTATCCTGTCCTAAAGATTCTCTTTGAGTTGGAAATCAACTCAGTAGCAGTGAGTTTGTTTTTGTTTGTTTTATTTTTTAAAGATAATTTTATTGTGGGCTCGTACAACTCTTATCACAATCCATACATCCATCCATCGTGTCAAGCACATTTGTACATTTGTTGCCATCATCATTCTCAAAACATTTGCTTTCTACTTCAGCCCTTGGTATCAGCTCCTCATTTTCCCCCCTTCCTCCCCACACCCTGAAAGCTTGTGTTATTTATTTTTTTAAAGGTCCCCTGATAGCACAATGGTTAAGTGCTGCTAAGCTAAAGTTTAGTGGTTTGAAGTTTACCAGCCATTTCACAGGAGAAAAGACTTGGCAATCTGCGCTCATATTTACAGCCTTAGCACCAAAAAGGGACATCTACTCTGTCCAATAGGGTCACTCTTAAGTCAGAATCAAATCTATGACGTACACCACCATCAACAATTATCCTGGTCCTTGGGTGGTGCAAATGGTTTAATGAGCAGCTATTAACCAAATGAATGGTAGTTTGGACCCACTTTAGATCTCAGGTGTGTGGGGAGGAGGGGTGTTGGAGCTTACATATTGATTAGTCTTTGTATAAATGCCTGTTAAAAAGGGAAAGATACCAAATAAACTATAAACAGTAAGGTGAGCAACTTGTACTTGAGCAATTTATAAAATGTATATAATCACGAATTACCTATTAAGTGTAAATAAATTTGAATGAATGAAAAGCACTACAGTACGAAAAGTACAAGAAAATGGAAATCCATACACAATTTCTTCATAATACCTATTTCCAATGAGCAAACCTTTTAAGTAACTAATTGCATGAATCTGCTAAAACAGGTCTCACCCCTACCAATCCTATCACTAGGGTCCACCACTTTGGGCATAGATGTCTCATATAATTGTATCAAAGTTAAACTACGTTAAACAACAACAACAACAACCAATCGCTGGTTTCAGCATGCCTACCATTACTGAAAATATAAAATTCAAAGCAGAATTCAGTGTTGAAACGGTTACAATGTTAGCTTTTTCCTGGAGAATTTGACAATTAAGACTAGCATTAGATTATTCTGTTTCAGAAACTACAAAATCAGAAAGCAAACATTTAAAAGAAAATCTTAGTGTCATATAGGTATAGTTACTAGATATAAAACTTTAAACTTTTTCAATTTTTGAACACCCTTCTCCAAACTTATCTTTCAGTGTTCACATCATCTTGCACCACAAAACACACAGTAACCATTCAAACCATGACTTAGTAATGTAAAAAATTATTTTTCAATCAAAAGCAAACAAGAAAATTATGAGATCAACACTCAGGTTCTTAAAATTTTCTCAGAGCAAGTTTTGCAAGCAAATTAAACAGCACAAAACACAAACAAATAATTCTATTTAATATAGAACACTTTCATGCTCAAGGCCTGCAGATAAACCACCCATGTGCTATTGGGTCAGTTCAAATATAGCACAATATGAAGATTCCAAAAGCAAAGTAAATGACGAATCCTCTTTATTTCTACACTTTGACCAAATTAAACTAAATCCACTGTCCTCGAGTCAATTCTGACTCAGAACAGTCTTATAGTGTATCACCTGTGGGTGGGTTTTCCAAGGCTGGATAAATCTTTACAGAAGCAGACAGATTCATCTTTCTCCATCCAAGTGGCTGGTGGGTTTGAACTCCTGATTTTGAGAGTTAGCAGCCCAACACAGGATCCACTATGCCTCCAGGGTTCCTTTTCTAACACGATGATTAACCTCCTTTAAGTTTAATTTAAATAAGGCCTACACCACCTTCGTGAATGGCAACATACAATGATCTTCATGTAGATAAATGTAAACAGTAATAATTTAAAAGTTCTGAAGAAACCTCAAATTCAAAATTGTCACAATAGCATATAATTTTCCCAATCATATACATTTTTAAATGTGAGTGTGGGAAACAGAGGACTGGGAAGAGTGTATATGGATGGCTTCCTTTATTCTCAATTTTTTCCTTTAAAATTTTATTTTATTGGGGGCTCTTACAGCTCTTATCACAATCCATACATATATCCATTGTGTCAAACACATCTGTACATATTATCATCATCTTAAAAAAAAAACTTTATTGGGGGCTCGTACAATTCTCATCACAATCCATACATGCATCCATTGTGTCAAGCACATATGTACATTCGCTGCCATCATCATTCTCAAAACATTTGCCCTCCACCTCAGCCCTTAATATCAGTTGCTCATTTTCCCCTTCCTTCATGAACCCTCCATAATTCACAACTTATAGTTTTGTCATAAGTTACACTGTCCAACGTCTCCTCCCCCCTCTGCGGTCCCTCCCCCAGGGAGGAGGCAATACCTAGATTCTTGTATCTGTTCCCCCTTTCCACCCCACATTCCCTTCACCCTCCAGGCCTCGCCCCTCTCACCACTGATCCTGAAGGAGTCATCTGTCCTGGATTCCATGTGTTTCCAGTTGCTATCTGTACCAATGTACATGCTCTGGTCTAGCCAGATTTGTAAGGTAGAATTAGGATCATGATAGTGGGGGGGGGGGGAGCATTTAAGAACTAGAGGAGAGTTATATGTTTCATTGTTGAGGGGAGGAGACGAGCCAAATCAGGGTGCAGGATAGCAACGATGAAACATTTATTCTCATATTTTAAGATGCCTGGGAGGCCAAGATTCTGGATGGTGAGAGGCCTTCACACTGTGAGTTAGAGATGAGTCACAATCACATATAGTGCTACCTTGAAGTTACCTCTCGCAAGCACATGGCTGATTGCTGTCTAGCTTGCAGCTTTATCTATAGGAGCAGACATGTTGCCATTGCTCTCACTGTTCAGGGGACAGTCACTCTCCCTTACCTACCCCCAGCACTGGTGTTAGGTTACTCCTCCAATGAACTCACTTTGTTACTATGTGGTTACCTGTATAGAAGGCAGTGGTTCTCAACCTTCCTAATGCCACAACGCTTTAATACAGTTCGTGTTGTGGTGACCCCCAACCATAAAATTATTTTCGTTGCTGCTTCATAACTGTAGTTTTGCTACTGTTATGCATCCGGTGATCCCTGTGAAAGGGTGTTCCACCCCCAAAGGGGTCACGACCCACAAGTTTAGAACCGCTGATATAAGGTGATGTGAGAATACAATCTCTCTTCCCTTGGACGTAGTTCCTGAAACCACGGCAGAAGTGAGCACCCCAAAACTTTTGTCTGTCCCTTAATTTCTTTCCTTCAATTACACATTGTCCCTAGGACCCATCCAGATGTGAGGCTGGATCTCACAATTAAGTATCCACAAAAAAACATTTTAAAAACTGTTTTATTTGATTATATGTCTTCTTCATGTCATGGATTGCAGTCACTACATACATTAAACATTTCACTAATTAATTCCAAAATTCTAACTTTCGGCTAATACCAAAATAACCCCTATAATTTTCTTATACCTCTATACCTTATTGTATTAGTCTAGGTACTTAAGAGAAACAAATCCAAAAAATCAGGAAGAGTGTGAAAAAAAAAAAAGAGAGAGAGAAACAAATCCACAGCAACTCATGTATAAGAGAGTTTTAGGTAAAGAAAATGTACATCACGAAAACATCCCAACCCAATGCGGCCCAAGCTCACAAGTCCAACATTAACCCATTAACCCAACACCAGTCCACAAAGTCCTCCACCTCACAAAACAGAGGCAATGATGCCGACTGCAGGAG